GCTGGCTGCCTGCCCCAGCAGGCCGCAGAGCCGTTCCCCGGTGCTCGCGTCCCTGTAGCCCGCTGCGCGCCTCGCTCATGCGCCCTTAGAGCCGTTCTACGCGCCGCCTCCTTCCCTCCCCCAACCTGCCCGGGACCGGGCGGGCGACAGTGCCGGGGCCGGGGGCGGCTGCAGCCCCCCTGGCTCGTTGTGCACCGCTGGGGATTCGCCGCGAAACCGTAGCGTAGAGTCGGGGCGGCAGCGCACCGTCGAGCCTAGCGGCTCCTAGCGTAGAGTCGGGGCGGCAGCGCACCGTCGAGCCTAGCGGCTGCGAGCTCCGGCCCGGGGTTTCGCCCCAGAGGTGGCGGTGCCGGACGCGGCTTTCCCGTGGAGGGACCCACGCGCCTCCAGGGGAGCTCGGGAGGGCTCCGGGGCGCAGTACGGACCTGGGCCGTTGCCGCGACCTAGCCCTGCTCTGCGCCACCCGGGCTCCAGAGCCCCCTTTTCTGAAGTCATCCTTGGGGAGTGGGTGTCGGTGGTGGTGAGCGTAGCCGCCCAGTCCCCTAGTTAGCAGCTGTCCAGTGTGCTGTGGCATTGAAGGAGGACACTGCGGTGGATTTCTGGATTTTTTTTTTTATAGGGGGATTCATCCCACGAGGGGGGACGCGGCATTGGAGCATGCACAAAAATACCGCGGGGCAAATAGTGCTGGTGGATATTTGGTGGCCAGGCATCAAGGGAGCAGAAGCTCACAGGCTGATCGCATTCAAGACAGCTGGCAGGGCATCCATAAGAAGCGATCCAGGCCTTAAAGGTAAAGACAAAAAGCTGTATTCAGTGAAGTAAAATGGGTAGCCAATGGAGACAGAGAGGGTCGATAAAAATCACAGGAGTGTGGCAGAAGATCCACTAGGCTCTACAGAGGTAGCATCCTTTTTTTCTGGAAAGAAATTTATATTATTTGGGAGATAGAGAGGCTAGGAACAGATGAGTTTTTAGCTTGCAGAGTCCTCTCTCCCGCTCTTCAATCCTTAAAAGTCCTCAGCAGTAAGGACAGGACAATCTATTAGCCACTTATCAGATGCAATACTAAGTAATAATTTAGGAGTATAGCTACTTTGGTCAGTCAAGGTCTTAGGAGTAAAACATCCTTTTAAAATATATATATATATATGAAGGCTAGTCTGCAGCACAGAACACTATTCTGGAAGAATAACCAAGCTATTTATCAAAGTATTTACTAAACATTCATGACAATTTTATGCTTTATAGAATTTAATGTATAATTAAATACTAATTTCTCCAAAGCTGTTCATTAGTGATATGTCATTACGGTGACAAATGGCATTAATTAAAGAGAAAGTAGAAATGCTTCCCAGTATTCTCCTAAGGTTTACCTGAACAAATAGCATTTTCCTTCTTCCGAGCCAGGGTACAAACAGCAGTGCTTCCATCTGCAGCGATCACTGCTGTGATTGTAAAAGTATAAGACGACTTCTAAAACTTGTAAAAATAGAGTGAGAAAGGCATGTGGAGACTTGTCAGAGGCCGCTTCGATCATTGTTAAATAGATTTCCATTTAATTTGTAAAAATGCTTGCATGAATACTGTTTCTTTAGTCAAGTCACAGTTAAACAAGTAATTGCCAAATCTGTTCTACTTCTTTACAGTTAGTTCTTCACTGCAGATTGTTTAAGGATTTATTCAGTGTGGTTTTGCAGATACGATGGCAGCAATATTGCTAAATGCATACAGGATCAGCTGGTTTCTTCAAATATAAGTTAATCATTGCAAGAACAGCTAATAATGCTTTACCAGTCTGCTGCAGTTACCAGGAGAAAAAAAAATCAAATTGCTGTTTCTTGTATCCTTGGACTTTTTTTTCTTGAAGCAACTTTCAGTTATTATTTTACAAGAGAAAAGAAAAAGATAATGAACAACAAAAAGAAGGAAAATCTCATGAAATGCAAAACCCTACAAATCAGTTTTCAGTTCTGTGCAGTTATAGGAGATTTAAACTTACACTACCGTGCTATGATTGCATCACTGAATGCAAACATGATTCTGAAATACTGTAGACTATTTTATTACATGACAGTTGAAGGGTTTTCTTTTAAACAACACTGTATTTTGCACAGATTTTATGGGTTTAGTAATTACTTTTTTTGGAGGGAAGCACTGTGCAGGGAGATAAGAAACCCCTATTAAAAAACATCTCGCAAGTGGGGTACTGTGCTGTGATTTGTCAGTCATGCAGAATAACTGTCTATTTTCTTACAAAAAATGGAGAACTTAAAATTTTGAAGGTGAATGTGTTGCCCTTTTAAAGACCGCTCTTTCTCCCAACAACTACCCGTTCAAGCAGAAAGTAAGCAAATATTTCCAAGGTGAAAGCACGTCTTTTGTCTGCTCTTAATAAAATAATGAAGTGACAAATTCCAGTTTCTGAAGGAAAGCCTGCCTAAAATCTAGGAGATAAAAATCTCTGAACCTCAGATGATTATGTTTTCAAACACTAGTGTCAGGCTGAAAACAGGCTGAAAAAGATCCAAAGTTCACAGTCAGATAGATTTTCCTTTGGCTAGAATTAGAAGAGAAGAGTGGAGTTCTATCAGCTATTTTGCTTTTTTCAGCTGTAGCTGAGTCAGATTGAAATACTGCTACGGAGTTGCAGAACTGGCCTCCATCATACCCGCTTTAGTTATGGATAATGTCTTTTCCTACGCGTGCCATCAAAATGCATTCAAAAATCAAAATGATTTGGAAAATGCAGTCAGGGTTATCCAGTTTGTGAACAGTCATTTGTAGAAATTTTTTTATGTCTAGTCTAGCCTTGAAAGACTTGAAGTTTCTCACTGCTTGTGAAGTACGTTGATATGCAGTTAACATAAAATAAGAAAAACATTCTATAAGATCATTTATTTTTTGACGAAGGCTACCAACTGGAATTCTTAGGTACAAACCATCCTTACTAACGCTTGAGGCATAAATCAATAACTTGTTTGCAGCAGATCAGTGAACAGAAATGATTCTACTGACCGTCAGGAATAGGTTTGGTTTGTTTTTTTTTTTAATATCTCATTAAAGAGATATTTGCAGGCAGTGGGGCTCTTCTCAGTCAGACTGAGTTTAGCAAGTTTGCTCTTTCAATAGGAACACAACTCCTTCTGTTTTGAAAGACCAGCACATGAGTAATGTATACTCAAGCCCCATGATACGCGTCTACATTATCCCAAGACGCAACTCTGCATGTCACTACTAGCCTTGTATTTTATCTACAGATCGCATCTACCCTGGCAGTAAGCAACACAGGAGTTTGTCCAGGAAGACCCAGGCTCCTACTTTCTACTTGACATTATGAAAAGCAGCTAATACAGTTGAAGGTCAGGATGTATCCACATGATTAATATGTGCAACCTGGGAGGGGGATCAGGAGGGGGAAATCAGAGGAAGGTGCTCCCATGATGGGCATACCCAGTATTCCTCCTGTGAACAAAAGAGTATCAGGTCACCCCACAACTGAAGATGGTGTCTGCAGGCAAGAAGCATGGGTCTTCTGCTAATTAACCTCCAACGTACCCTGAGGTACTGCTTACGCAGCAGTACAGACAGAACTCCTGTTGTTTTGGAATACAACTCCACCACTGCAGACAGCAGGTTTTTTTGTTTACCTGTAGTGGTAAACAAAAATTCATAATGAGCGTATTCCTGTTCGGATAGGCTAAGATGTGCCAGATTTGTACAGTGCAAATAGCCAGTTTGCTGAACAGTGCACTTCCCTAGTAAGCTGAAGGTTAATGTTAAAGGGAATTCAAACTGTACGTTTCTCCCCTGGCCGAGCACTTGGAAGAAACACAGCACTCCTGTTTCATCTTCCCTTCTGTGTGAGACTGAGACTATTACATCAGGTTTGGTGAGTGACTGTGGGAAGTGCAGATTGGAATAGGAGCAAGGCACCTGTCTATTCAGGAGGAGCATTCTTAAAAACCCCAGAGCCTCCGGAACGGGCAGGGAGCTATGCAGGAATTTTTAAAGATCCAAGTTTCAACTTTGGTACCTATGGCCTTTTATGAATGTAACCCATAATCTCTAGGTAAAGTCCATCAGCTCTCCGTTCAGCGTGTCTACAAGGAGTCTACTTAAGCTGAGATTTATGCCACTGACAGCAAATAAACCCCAAGATATTACCCCCTTCCCATGTATTTGTACTCTAATTTTAGACGTAGCGCGCAAAGAATGAGGAAGAGTTAAAGAATGGATGACAAGGAAAAAGAGTTAGATAAATAACGTCCAGTGCATACTGATACAGCCAAGTGTGTGTCTTAAGAATCATTAAACCGTTAAGGCTGACGTGTTTAGTTCTTGTGGATTATTCTGGAAATGATTGGTTGAGGGCATTCGAGAGGTTTGGGGGCTTTTTTTTTTTCCTACTTTAAGGAGATAGGTGAGTGAGGACAGGGCAGTAGAAAATGTTGCACAGTTAGAGAACAATAAAAGAAATGCAGACATTATTCCCCAGGAGTGGAGTAGGATTTAAAAATCAGGCATATGCTGTGCAACTAGCAAAGTCTGAACTGGCTCCAGAATGGGAGCGTAACTGTGTTACTGTGGTACTACATACATACTCATGAGCCCTGCTGAGAGCCAACAAGCTGCAGCGTCTGTGCAGCACTGAACGGGCCGTGCTGAAACACTGATGTGAGCTGTGTATTCTTTCCACCTTACTGCACTGTGCAGCATAGATAACGTGTGAAATCACATGACAAAAGCCATCAAGCACTTCTCAATTGGTGGTAAGGCTTGGCATCATCCACTTAACCTGCAAGGAAGGAGGAGTGTGGAATTACCAAACCTGGATATTTGTGTCCTGCCTGTACAGCTAGGTAATCAAATTTCTTTTCGGTGTGTGTTAGGATTAGCATCTTCGCATTCATTTAAGAGCTGACCTATCTCTCCATTTCCTTTTAAAATCCCTAGTGCTGCCGGCAGCATGGCCTCTCAGAGGATCACTCGGTGCCGCTCACATTATTCTAATCTCCGGCAGCCTGAACTCCGCTACCAGGGTGTTACGGTGAAACGCCATCTGTAAAGTGATCATTCATCCTCACCCGAGGGTCTCTGAGCACGGAACGAGGTGCTGACTGCAAACGGCTTGGAGCAAAAAGACGCCGGCGACCTATCTCCCAGCCCGGGGGCGGCACTCGCCGCTCCT